ATTTCATCTAATCTGTGTGATATTGTGCAGAGTTGTTTATGATACTTTTTTTTGACCTTTTAATTTTATCTGTAGTCATCTTACTTCAGTCATTCTTGTTACTGGTAATTTGTTTCTTCTTTTTCTCTCCTGGTCAATCTGGGTAGAGGTTTGCCCATTTTAATCACCTTCTTGTAGTGTTTCATTTCATTGATTTTTCTCAACAGTTTTACTCTTTCTTACTTTATTGGTTTTCGTCTGATCTTTATACTGTACTTTTTGTTGGTTTCTTTGGACTTAATTTCCCCTTTTTCTAGTGTCCCAATGTAAAAATAGAGTTCATTGAGATTAGGTCTTTCTTATTTTCTAATATAGTCATTTAGTTTACTAATTTCCGCATACATAGTGCTTTAGCAGAATCTCCCAAATTCTAATGTGTTATGTTTTTATCTTCATTTTCTAATCTCTTTCTTTAATTTTTTTCTTTGATTCATAAGTAAGTTAGAAATATATAGTTTCCAAATATTTGGGGATTTTCCAGAGATCTCTGTTTAATTGACTTATAGTTCAATTTTATTATGTTTTAAGAATATATTTTGTGTGACTTGAATCTCTGTAAATGTATTGACTTGTTTTATAACCCAAAATATATATTTTGTTATAAATGGAGTCATTTAATCTTGAGAAGATTGTGTGGTTTACTGTTGTTATAGGAAATCTTTTGTAAATATTAATGAGATCAAATAGGGTGTTTTTCAAATTTACTATACTCTGTGATTTCTGCCTTTTTGTTCCGTCAACAATTAGAAGAGGGGTTCTATTAATTTTTGCATTTGTGTATTCTCCTTTATTTTTGCTTAATGTGTTTTGAAGCTTTATTGTTAGGCTTGTGTGGCCTCCTGATTAGTTGACCCACCCTCATTGTGAAATGACCATTTTTATCTTTGGTAATATTCTTTGCTCTGAATTTACTTTTTCTAGCAGAATATAGTCTCTCCTGCTTTCTTTTGACTAACATTTGCATGGCCTTTCTTCCTTTTATTTCCAACCTATTTGTATCTTTATGTTAAAAACACATTTTTTTGTTTAAAGCAGGATTTATTGAGAGGGCAGAATAGTTCCCATCGTGGGAGGGAATCCGAGGGGGTTACCCTAAAAATACATATTTTACAGATAACGTTTGAGTCTTGCTTTTTTTAAACAGATCGAATCTTTTGATCTTTGTCTTTTAGTTCAAGTATTTAGGCTGTGAACATTTAGTGTGGTAATTGCCTTGGTTAGGTTTGGGTCTGTCATCTTGCTATTTGTTTCAGAATAGGTCTAGACCTACAGAAAAGTTGAGAATATTGAGCACAGAGTTCCCATATTCCAGGCATTCCTTTTTTCTTATTGTGAGTACCTTATGTTAATAGAATACCTTTGCCACACTCACTGAAGCCGAAGTGGTACAGTTCACCTGATGCCCTTTTTCTGTTTCAGGATCCTATCTAGGACATCATGTGACATGTAGTCATTATGTCTCTCAGGCTTGTCTTGGCTGTGACAGTTTCCCAGACCTGCCTTGTGTTTTTATAATGTCGACATAAAGGTTCTGAAGAGTATGGGTCAAGTATTTTGTAAGATGCTCTCCTGTTGGAATTTGATGGGGTTTTTCTCATAATAATTCTAGTGTTGCGGGTTTGGGAGGAAGACCACGAAGTGCTGCTTCTGTCACATCAGGTTAAGGGTGCACACTCTCTACGTGGCATCCCCCTGTCGATGGTAGCCTGGGTCACCTGGCTGAGCGAGTGCTTGTTAGGGTGCTCATGGTGAGGTTAATACCCCCCTACCTTTCCGTACTGTGCTGTTTTGGAAGGAGATGATGGCGCATAGCCCACGCTTAAGGAGTGGGGCTTTGTGGTTCCCTCCATGAGGACAGAATCTAGGGAAATGGCTTGAGAGTCCTGTGCTTGGGAGATTCATCTGGTCTCTCTCATGTTTTAACTATTTGTGTGTATTAGTGTGGACTCAAGGGTATTGTTTTGTACCTGGGGTTGTAACCCAATACAACTTTATGTTGTTGCTCAAATTGTTTAGCTTTGGCCATTTGGAGCTCATTGTTAGCTCTATTTGATGTACCCCTGTCAGTGGAGGGCTTTTGTGGTTATTTTCTTTGATTTCTCCCCCCCCCCC